CAACATCATGAGTTTAATAACATTAAATTGTTCCAATATGATTAAAAACATTAAAGTATTTCAAAAAACATGAATAAACTGAATATAAATGAACAATAATATGCTTAGGATTATAATTCGACTAATTTGATCGGTTTCCCCCTAAGGCAGGACATCGCTCCCCTACGGTTGCAGTTTTACGTCCCAAACCCCTTTGTGATCTTTGGTTATGTCCTCAGTGTCGAGAAACATATATGAAGGTTATAGTAAATCGGTTAAGCTAGTTAATAAAAAAATTAAAAATTAAAACAAATCAAATTAATCAATTTAATTTATTTGATTAATTTGATTTTAATTGAAAATTGCTAAGCCTTTTAACTCTATGATGGGGTTGACCTAGCTTGTATTTATAACTTTTGAAAACCCTTAATTCTGTGAAGAAGATGAGACATGGAGTTTGTGTACCAAAAAAGGCAGCTTGATTAAATTTTTAATGCATGGAAGAGACATCATGACTGACCGATTCCAATGGGCGGCCTTAGTTTACAATTTTCCATTTTTCTTATAATTTTTAAATCTCTTAACTCCTCCTACAGCTATTGGTTGTAAAAAAATAGTCTAACTTCTCATCTTTCCTACTGAATTTTTTTTTTTGGTAAAAGATGAATTTATTAAGCCACAGCAAAATGGCATTATAAGTCTAAGGCTGTCTGCCAAAGACTCCCCATGACATATCTTTCTGGCTTAATTGCTTAATTAGAAGAAGTCATCAAAGCTAATTTACAATTTTTAATTAACAGCTTGCAAAATGCTGCATGGCCATCTGTCTTTTGAAGATATCTTGATTTGCACAATTTCTTTCCATTTATTTGCTTTCTTTGGGATGAGTAAATCGAATTACCAAAACAAAAAAAGTTTTAATCATGTATTTGTATTAGTGGTTGGAATATTACAAGATTTTACTGCTGATATTCTCGACCAATTACATATTGTCCTCCTTTTAACTATGTAAATTAATAATAATAATGTAATGCAAACAATAGTAGTAATAATAATTTAATGAAGTTTCTAACAAAAACATATTAATTTAATCAAGTAGAATCTTCTTATTTAAAAAAAATTACATTGATAAATCTATGATAGATATGTAATTCAATGTTCAGTATTACTCTGTTTGTTTTTACGTTTTGTTTGTTACTTTAATTTAATTTTTGTATTGCACTACAATAAAATTGAATTTTAATTACACTTTTTTAGGTAACATATTTCTTTTATATAGTGAAATTTAAAAAGTGCAAATATTTAAAATTTTAGTTTTATTTTTTTCACATTCAGTAGTAATATAAAAAAATATTATTATATCTAAGCATTCGATTTATTTGTTGGTGTATGATCATTTTATCTAAAGAATATGATTAAAATCCTCTTTCTCTTAATTATAAAAGAAAAATACAATCTTTACTAATGTATGTAATTTTTACAATTACATTTTATTTATAATACATTTAAAAAATTATATAATAAAGTCAAATCTACAAAAACATTCTAATCAAACCAACATTGCAAGTATAAGGAAAAATAAATCTCGTGCCAATGGGTCTCATGTGCACAGGTTACTTTTTTTAAAAAAAATTTTGCTACTTTCCTTTTTTTTGTTTATTTATTATAAAACTAGATATCATATATACATCTTAATTCTATCTTGTTGATCAATATTTTATATATAAAAATAAATAGTTTGATGCAAAATATACAAAAAGCTTTTTCCATATGTTCGAACAATATTATAAATAATAGTAATAATAGTAAAAGGAGTAATCTTAAATTTGGAAACACAATAAATAATAGTAGCAATAATAAATTAAAGATAATTATGTTCAGGTACTGACATTTTTAAAAATTTTTGTCTGCCTTGTTGTTAGAGAAAAATTTTTATTTAAATAATTTTTTATTTTTAAAAATGATTTAATTTTTGGATATCTTGATTATGATCATTCAAATAAGAAAATAAAATTAGAATTGAGAAAATGTAATAAATTAAAAGTAATTATTCATCAACTACGTAATTTATATCATAAACTTACTAAAATGAAATAAATACTAATTACACTTATTAAAATTTGCTAACTTTAAAGATGAAATTTTGTAAATTATTTTCAATTTAAATCACTACTTTATAATCCTATGCTTTTCTAATTATTTAAAAATATTCTGCTTTGTGAAAATAATCTTCAAATCTCCCAATAGTGTACTTTGGCAAGTGATTATTAAATTTATTCAATTAATTATTTTATTTTTTATTTAGAAATATTCTTGTTTTTCCATTTTCTTTCTCTTTCCTTCATTGTTTTGGTCTCTCTATTCTTTGAAAAATCAAAAACAACCTCTCATATTAACTCTATTTTCCTTTTTATTTTTCACTCTTTGTTTTTCGATGGATTTTTTTTTGAATTTTTTTATGTCATTTTCTTTGGTTTTTTTGGGTTGATTTTTTGTGATTTTTTATGCTTTTGGAATTTTTTCTGTGTTTTTTTCTTTTTCTTTCACTAAAAACCACAAAACTCCGTCTCCTGCCGACTACCTCTACCCATCTTTCTTAAGTTTCAAAAAATCCCAAATACTGTTTAAATTTCATGTAATTACACAAATAGATAAGAATCAATATCCTTTAGATGTTAATAATAATAATTTAGTTAAGTTTCTTAAAAAAGAATAATAATTTAATGAAGTAGGATCTTCTTATTTAAAAAAAAAATTGACACTGATAAATCTATAATAGATACATAATCTAATTTTTAGTATTATTCTATTTGTTTTTACGTTTTGTTTGCTACTTTAATTCAATTTTTAATGTACCTTTTTAATTTTTAGTTAAAATTTTTTTATATAATCAATGCAACAATATCTATTGATAAAAAAAATCATTTATCACATGATATATATTATTGGACTTTTCTAATTTTTTGTCAAAAAATTATTGTGGAACAGATGGTACAATATCACTTATTGCATTGGACATATCATCATACCGTTTTAATTTTTTTGTTAGAAAATCGTTGTGAAATAAATAATATAATATCTCTTTGTCAAAAAAATGTCACTATCTCGACACTATGATTATTTCGATTTTTTTAAAAAAATTACAGATTTTTAATTGAGATTGGACTTGCCAGTTATTTCATGTAAATTGTAAAGTTAATAGACGTAGAAAGGATTAAAAATTTCTTTCAATTAAATTATTAGTCGAATTAACTAAATATGTTGTGAAAATTAATCAAACTGATCGTGAAAATAAACCAAATAATGAATGCATGCAAGTTGCATTTGGCAACTAAAATAGATAAAATTTCAAGCTCTCTCTAATCTTTCATTTCCATTTCCTCAGGTAATTTTATAGTGATTTCGAAGAAAAAAATTAATTAAAGGTCTGCTCAAATTATAATTTAGGGGAGAGAATTCAAACAAAAAAAAAAAAGAGGAAACTTTATTGTGCACCGAGAAGGACAGGAATAAGAACATAAAGGGGAGGAGAGGTTGAATCAGAATGCGACCACGAAGGACAACCCAATAAATAATGAACGAAGGAGGTCGTCGACCAACCGGCTGACACAAAGGTTAATTGGAAGGGGAAGGTAGCTTGAACTTGCACGTTTTTCATTATGTTTTTTTTTTCCCTAGAAGACTGAAAAGCAAGACCCAACAAGTTGGACACTTGTTGGCTCGGACAATGGTAAATTATCTGCCATTGGTAGATCTAAAACATTTTTCCCTTTCCACTTGAAATTAACAAACGTTCGACCTCCCTCTTCGAAGGCATCAAAAACCAATCAGAATTTATATATATATATAAAAAAAAGCACAACTTGTTGGTTTCCATGCAAGAAACAATGGTGGAACAGCTTGATGAAAGTTGGGAACGACTAGACTTTGCCCAACTATATATATCGTGCTCGCTGTGAAGCCAAATGTGAACATTTGGAAACTTGTCCTGTCTCAAGCTCAGCTTGGATTGCAAGTTTTCTGCAACTGATATTATTTAAAGACAATCAGAAGACATTAGTAACAATTCCATGTGCGGGAATGGGGAAAGGTGCCTCATATTTTCATCAGTCATAACTACTTTTCCCCTCACCTGTCAGGATTTTATTAATGAGGAAACCAGTAACATGTGAAACACAATTTAAATACCTGTGGATGCAATAAAAGCCTTTGGCTGTTTGAAGTATTAATTTGCATCGAGTCATCAATAATTCTTTCATTGAAAAGAAGTTTAAACCAGCTCACGCATACCAAGTCTTTAGAATAGTACAAAAATTGGATCGATGGCATCTCCGCCGCTTTTACAATGATTCATGCTCTCAAAATTCATCCATACAATATCCCTGTAATCATCAACTGACAAAAACAAAACCAGAATCATAAAATCTTTGGAACAATAACAGCTAAACTGGTTCTCATCACCAATGCAAATGCGTAGTCAATGAGAAATCAAGCAGGACCTCGTGTCCCTTGTCTGTACATCACGTTTTTTGTATTAGCATCAGCAACTTCCAGCCTTGCTAAAGTATCAGCAAAACCATTAGCTTCTCTGTAGACATGTTTGAAACTAACTCCTCCAATGATCTTCCATTGTGCCCACGGTCTCGATTCCTTAATATTCATCCATGATATGGCAATCACCGAATCCGGCTCCACAATCAAAGATTTCTTTCCACACTATTCTAACGAGCTGAACACCATTAAAGCTTTTTTTTTTTTGCAAGTAAAAACTCTTTCAAAAAGAATGTTTATATGAATAAAGTACAATATCCGAATCATAGACCACTACACACTATATGAATGACATCACAATGAGGATGTCATTTCTAGCAAATGCCACTATATTTCCGTGTATTAAGGTTGGATCTTAGTATCCTTGTGGTTACTCCAATGATAAGCTTTCTTTAGATCGAGGAGTTAAAAAAAAAAGAAAGAAATAGTGAGGATTGTAAATGCCAACACAAGCATACATATAAAGAATGCAATAGATTATTCCCATTGGCACAATTGAAAACGAAAAGTACAATAATAAATTAGCAAATTGGCCGTTTACTATATATCATACACATTGCCGACACGAAATATGGCTGTGCATTGAAGGTTTAACAGTAGAGTAATTGCCAAGAAATGCTTGGAAACAAAGTAAAAAATATATATATATACCCAATAGAATTGCTCGGCGGTGGCCTTGCCGAATTTAAAGCCACCAAATCTTACGCATGAACGTAACTGCAGGTTGTTAACAAGTAAGAGTATATATAAAAGCTCTGCTGGTTGCCTGATCAATACCAAGCACCTTGTCATTCTTTCTAGGAAGCAAAGTTACTAGCAACTTTTGTTTTTTCAATCTCAATGGGCAGCCTTGCGTCCATGAATGAAGATGGAAGCTGTTCTACCAACATCGTTAACCCCCTAGACCCTGAGGAATTCAGAAAGCAAGGTCACATGATCATAGATTTCCTAGCTGACTATTACCAAAACATTGAGAGATACCCAGTCCTCAGTCAAGTTGAACCGGGCTACCTTCGGAAACTCTTGCCAATGTCCGCCCCATATATTGCAGAACCCGTTGAAGCAATCCTTCAAGATGTTGAGAAACATATAATCCCTGGTATAACACACTGGCAAAGTCCTAACTATTTTGCATACTTCCCATCAAGTGGCAGCATTGCTGGCTTCCTTGGGGAGGTGCTTGGCACCGGTTTCAATGTGGTGGGATTCAATTGGATATCATCACCAGCCGCGACGGAGCTTGAATCCATAGTCATGGATTGGCTTGGTCAAATGCTTGAGCTTCCTCAAAGTTTCCTTTTCTCTGGAAATGGAGGGGGTGTGATACAGGGAACTACTTGTGAGGCCATGTTGTGTACACTAACAGCAGCAAGAGATCAAATGTTGAGCAAAATTGGGAGGGAGAATATTGCGAAATTAGTTGTCTATGGGTCGGACCAAACACATAGCGCTGTAGCAAAGGCAGCTAAAATTGTGGGTATCGACCCTAAAAATTTTCGGGCCATCAAGACAAACAAATCAACATTATTTGGTCTGTCACCAGAATCATTACGAATTGCAATAACTACAGATGTAAAAGCAGGACTGATCCCACTATATCTCTGTGCCACAGTGGGGACAACGTCGACCACCGCTGTTGATCCGTTGGGGCCGCTGTGCGATGTAGCAAAAGAATATGGAGTGTGGGTTCATGTCGATGCTGCTTATGCAGGAAGTGCCTGTATTTGCCCTGAGTTTCGACATTTTATCAATGGTGTGGAAGGTGCCAATTCTTTTAGTCTTAATGCTCATAAATGGTTCTTCACCACTTTGGATTGCTGTTGTCTTTGGGTGAAGGATCCAAGCACTCTTACAAATCTCTCTCAACGAGCCCGGAATACCTGAAAAATAAAGCAACTGATTCAAAGCAAGTGGTAGACTACAAAGATTGGCAGATAACTCTGAGCAGAAGGTTTCGAGCTATGAAACTTTGGCTTGTGCTTAGAAGTTACGGTGTGGCCAACCTTAGAAACTTTCTGAGAAGCCACGTCAAAATGGCAAAACGTTTCGAAGAGCTCCTGGCTTGCGACAACAGGTTTGAGGTGGTAGTACCCAGGTACTTTTGCTACGGTCTGTTTCAGGGTTTTGCCATCCGCTTTGTGTAAAATTCAGAATGAACCTTGCGGTGAAGCTGATCATCATGTTCATCAGAAGCATGCAAATGAGTTCAACAGAAAATTGTTAGAGTCAATCAACGCATCGGGGCATATATACATGACTCATGCTCAGGTTGAGGGAATTTATATGATGAGATTTGCCATCGGCGCCACTCTTACAGAGGATAAACATGTTATCAAGGCTTGGGAGGTGGTGCGAGAGATGGTGGATACCATGCTCAAGCTCAATCCACAGTAATTATTACTATGCATATTATATATATATATATATATAGACAGATATTGATCCTGTCTTTCTCCAGTACGAGCTGTTTTAATTTCTCTTGTAATTTTCCTTCTACTATTGAATAAAGTATTTAATTTAATTTGATTAGACAATAACCTTCACCTACAATTTTAGAGCAGCAAATTTCTTAATGGATGGATTTGTCAAAGCAACTTTATTGATAATAAAGCTTCTAAGTAGTATTATGAATTTATCCCCTTTGCTCTAAAATGCGACCTTGTAAACACAAATTTTATCTCTTTTTGTAACCTCAACTAAATTTTTCAGAAAAAAATTAATTTAGTTAGTATAAAATCCAAGAATTGTCTATTTTAATATTACGACCAGATAAGATAAGTAAGAAAATTGAAAAAAAAAGAAAGAAATAAAACCCTATTTAATGTGATGACTTTTTCGAGTAGAAGAAAATTTTAATATTCTTGTTTCTCTATTTCTTTTGTTATCCTACACTTTGCGTATCCAAATCTCCTTATTTAATTGTCCCTTTTCATTACAAAATCAATGGAGGACAAATTAAGATATTTCCTAAATTGTTTTTACAGAATTTTGCATGGAAACTTGATGAAACAAATTAAAATATGCTGGAATTTCGAAACAACCCTTGGGATATGACAATAAATCAAAATCTAGAAAAAGAATGACAATAAATAAGTTCCATATGAATTAATTGATGCTTTTCCTTTTCTCTTTTCATTTCGAGAGGGACAACTGGGCAAGGCAAACTGATTGAGAGTTGAGATCTGGAAACAGGAAAGCTGACCCAAAAGGCCCAAACGTGCAAAAATTATTTGGCGGCCAAAGAGCCAGCAACTCCAGATAATAGCCAAGCGAACGAAGCTAATAAATTTAATGGTGGGTTTAAGTTAGTTCATAGATGGCATGGCACCACAGTTTAGGATCAGGAGAGAAAATGGGCAGCCTTGGATCTGTCTATAATCCAGAAAACAATTTCTTCCAACTTTGTTAACCCTCTGAATCCTGATGAATTTAGGAGTCCTGTGTTTCCTCTGCCACTACCGTACTTTCTTTCATTGTGCCCAATCTACCCGTTGAATCAATGGCATTCCACTGCTGCACCTCCGTCGTTAACACTATTTCTCTTTGCCCATTTATGCAAGGCCATGTGAATGGGGCTAAAGCCATCTTGATTCAGCTTCCTAGCAAATGGTTTTTAAGTTCATAATCTCCATTACAAAAAATCACTGTGCCCTGCAGCAGCTGCTATGTGCAATGGAGTATATATCAGCATACTCATCCTGATCAAGGCGCCTCAAAACATTTCCATCTTCTGAATTAATTCATACAACTGATCAATGCTTCCTGTTTGAGCTGCACCCATCAACCTTTCTTCCTGCACATATATGGCTTCACAAGCAACTAAACTCTGCTAATTAATTTGGTAGCTGTTTAGTCTTCCTATCAAAAACAAAGACAATAATATGTACTGTGATTACCACAAACTACATAGCCGAACTCCACACTGGGAAACCAAAGAAGAGATGTAGATCCTTGCTTGTTGGCTTCGTAAGACATCTTGAGCTGTTAATTTGCCAGAATTTGATGATGTTCACTTCAGACCTTGATTAGTTTCTATTTTCACCTGTTAGGTAGGACATAGATGGCCATATAGTCAACTACAGAAACGAAGAAAAAGAAGGCAAGAAAAATCAAAATTTTTCTTTATTGGTTAAAAAGACAAAAAATTTATCTTTTCTACCAACCAATGTGTTGAATTAACATTTTCCTTTAATGGCAAACTCTAATATAAGTTTTAACAGAGCACTAGAAGAAGACGCTGGCCATACGTTATATAAACCAGATGGAGTTGCCTCCCAATGACAAATATTATATAAAGTCTAACATAACTTTTAATTTAGTGGCTTCTGGTGGTATTTGCCATTCAGAAAATTACGAAATTATCTCTAACGAATTATTTAAGATCTTACTCAATAGAATAAAAAAAAATCAAGCATATTCACAAAAACAGAAGAATTTACGTGATTCGATTTTTTGATGACCTATATTCATGGACACAACAAAAGAGAAAGATCCACTAAGTGAAAAATCAGTAGATTACAAAAATTGTTTTAAACTCCCAACTCTTATCTCAGGTATATGCAAGTCACTCTCTTTAAATCTAGGTGTTTATTATTCTTTAACCCTATAGGATCATTTTATAGAATAAAATACAATAATTTTATCCTAATACAATTAAGATATGTGATACTAGTTTAACTAGATTTAAAAACTATTTTATTAAGATATATTAGTTTAACCAGAATAAAACTATCTGAGTTAAACTACAATTCAAAATTATCTTAACAAAAAGCTTGTTTCAATTTAACCTATTAATTAGCATGAATTAAGTTTGATTTAATTAATTTAATAACATATAAATTTTTAAAATAAATAGATACAGCCTATTGAGTCATCTCTTTAGTGGACCATTTTCAAAATTCTCAAGTCACCTCTCTATGTCTCTTCAACCATATATCATATAGTCATTTTCTTTCTTTTATACTTCAACAGATCAATCATTAGTCATTTTTTTACTTTTTTTTTATGTGGAGGATATCATCTTTCATTATTAAGAAGGACAGTATTTACACATAAAATATATATTTTACTTTTGAAATTATATATTTTTTTAATGTCTCACAATTACGTTCTCTTTTCTTTCTTAAATACTTAATATTCTTATTTTTTTCTACATTCTAATCTTTTCATGATTTTTTAAAAAAACAATTTAGACATTAAAAGTAAAGATCATCAATTATTTTCAAAGGAACTTATTATTTTAATATAAAAATAAAATAAATAAAAAATTTTTAAAAAATTCTTTAAAATAAAATAAAATAACGATAAAAACCCAAAGAGAGAACAATGTATACAACCATATTCTTTTAATATAATTTTAGAAATCTATAAATTATAATGTGACCTCATTAAATTTATTAAAGTAGTATCCTAGGTTGCAGTCGATGATTCATTTAACATATATTCATTAAGGATAGATTCCTAAATCTCATTCATTACTTAAAAAAAAGAAAAAGAAGAAGAAGCAAAGGCCAAAAGGAAGGTCTTGTAGTGTCGGTCACTTATTAATATTATAGGTTTTAAAACAATTTTTTTTTTAGCAAAAATAATATAGTTTTTATATGATGTAATCAAGAATTTTATGTATAAATTTTGCTTTTTGTTAAAAAGTTACATTTCTATTTATTCCACTCTACTTGATTCAATATTCATGATCATTAAGAGATGTTATTTCATATCGGATTTAAATTTTGAGTTTATCCAAGTTTATATTTAGATTGGTCTTACGCCTCTATAACTGATCAGATTTAAATTAGTTGATTAACAATGTATCAAAGCTTACTTCAAAAAGAAAATTGTAATCACACCTCCGATTTATTGTGTTATTTCGGAGGAATTAGATTTCCTTTTGTAGACATTATAATGGTAGATGGTGCGCCAACTGCCAAGGATGTGAGATGCTGTTCTTGGTTGTCCTAGCAAGTACCTCTTTTTCCAGCCCACACACTGAATGTACCATTCAATTTGGCATAAAGAGCTTGTTGTTATAATAAGAACTATTCTATCGACAAACTTAGAAGATTCTTCCCTTGAACGGAGTGGACATGTTTAGCTATTTGTGGCATATGCTTTCGGATTCATCAGAAAAATGATGCTGACATTTCCTGATGATACTCAAGGCAAATGGGGTTTGAAAAGTTAAGGGTCCATTCAAATGCCAACTTGGGGCACTCAAAATAATTAGCTGAGCTTTATCTGAAACAGAAGAAAGAAAAAGTAGCTAAAGAAGACAGAAAACAATGTCTAGGAGTCCTTGAAGGGAGTAAATTGAAGCTAGAGAACTCTTTAAATTTCCAACTAGAAGTGAGCAGCAGGCTCAGGTTCAAGGTTGGGATTGACAAATGACAACATGTTAAAACAAAACGAGTTTCTGAACCAGTGTGATTGAATGGGATTTAAAGGCCCAACGTGTGTAGGAGGTGATCCGACCTGATCCTTGGCTTGTTAGAATTGACGAAGAAGTCTGGCTTTTCCCTGTTATATATTGTGAGGGGTGTTAAGGAGAGCTTACCGTTTGGGTTTCTTACTGGTTTATAGCAAGGAAGATTTTTAGTGTTTTCTTCGGTTACAGGGCCCTTTGAAGGATACTGTATATGTTGCTAGGGTCCTGCAAAGTGTGCTTTGTTCTTCCTTTGGAGGGTTACGGTTAGAATATGGTAATCCTTTTCTTTCGGCTTATCCAAAAAAAAAAAAAAGAGAATTGACAAAGAGCAATATTTTGTTAATTTCGCAAATTTTGATATTTCTTGCCTTGTTTTTCTTCATTTCTGTAGTTTACTATATGGCCATCTATATCCTACTAAGCAGGTGAAAATAAAAGCTAATCAAGGTCTGGAGTGAACATCATCAAATTCTAGCAAATTAACAGCTCAAGGTGTCTTACGAAGCCAACGAGCAAGGATCGACATCTCTTCTTTGGTTGCCCCTGATGAAATAGTGTGGACGTTGGCTATGTAGTTTGTGGTAAGCATAGTACATACTGGTGTTTGAATAGGCCTTAAGGGTACGGCTTGTCTCTTAGCTGATGCTCAATGGGTGAGATTTTCATTGAAGGTAAAGAAGCTGAAGTAGTAGGTAGTTTCTTCGTTGCATAGGGAGGTTAATCTCTGACTATGGGAGCTATCACTTTGATTTTATAGCTGTGGCGTTCGTGCAGAAAAGAGGTAATTTGGTTGCAGTGGGATAACCATGGTCTTTATTTCGGGTCCCTTTTGTAACTATTGTCCAGTAACGAAATCATTCCTGACTCTTTTTATTTTTTTTTTAATTGTCAGTGCTGGAGGCTTGAATGCTTCATCAATTCCTTCGTCAATTCTTTGCTGGTTTTCTTTTTTTTTTGTTCTTGATTAAGGTGATGCCTCAGTGCGTTGCGATGAAGAAATAATATTGAAATAATTGAAGAAGTTGTGTGCCTAAATACATGTTGATTTGCATGATTAGTTCCTTCTTGAATGCAAATATTATTGTCTTTAAAATTTTGTTGTGTTTTCTTTCTATCTCCCTCTTCTTGTAATAACTAGAATGTAGCCCATGCCACGCATTGAGC